TCCCGAAACCCGCCGCCGCCACCACCGGCAGCTTCGGCCTCTGCTCGCCGGTGTCGGTTCTCCAGTCTCCGTTCTCAGTCGAGGAAACCTCCGGGAGATCAACGGTGGCGGCGGAGAAGACCTCGACCACCGTGACGGAGACGTTCTCAGAGTCTCTGTTCCTAAACGACGACGTTTTCGATTTCCGGAGCTCGGTCCCCGACTTTTTCGGCGGTAATATCTTCAGGGAAGACCTCTTCTCAGATACGAGTACGGGTTTGGATCTCGGGTTCGGATCCGGATTCGGATTCTCCAGCTGTCACGTGGAGGACGTGGAGGTGGAGGACCGTTTTCAAGACATTGGGGATTTATTCGGGTCGGATCCTCTCCTCGCGGTTTAAACAGAAATACTAATACAATAACCGAAAGAAACCGGTCGCTAACCGGTAGGTAGCTTGGGAATACAGGCAACGGCAATGTTTATGCTCTAGTTTTTTTTAAAAAAAAATTGTTGTATAAAAATTTAATTAATGTAGTTAATCGGCATATTATTATTTCAAATTTTGTTTTCTTTTTTATACTGGCCTCTTTTGTTCTTGCCGAGCCACGTGTCATCGCAGGTGATGTAATTTGGTTTTCCTGAGATAAGATTGCACGTGCGAAGAATGGAATCTAGGCAAGTGTCAATTATAAAGGAACCTTGATTCATCACTCGAATTTATTTATTTTTAAAATAGATTCCAAATTAGAAAATTAGATGTCGTTTCTATCCATATTCTCGAATTATTAGCTATCTATAGCGAATCGTATATAATAATTTAGAAAATTACGATTTTATGTAAGCCATATAATAGATTACAAATCTTTTTTATTAGCTTGATCTCGATTGTTCTGTATAATTTCTTTACAAATAAAATAATAAATAAACTAAACAAGCTTTTTGTAGTTTTACGTACTGATTTTGACATCTAAAGTGGACCGACACGGAAGGCTTTAGCCGCAAATTCTCGAGAAAGAGCAAAGTTTTGTCGCTTTCCCAAGATCGCTAGGAGCTGACTACAAGATCCTGAGAATCTCATTTTTTTATATTTTTAATAAGATCATTATCCACCATACTTTATTTTTACTAACATAATTATATAATTATATTAGTTATAATATAAAATTTATGACGATGATATCAAATTATCATTAATATATATTATATATCATATTAATCTATTTGATGAATCATCGTAAATTTAACGTTATGATTCATATAGTTTATACTGTTATTCTGATCATATAGTCATATTTAAAAAAGAGATATATAGAAATAATTGAATAAAAAAGGATATTTTAAATATTTTGCCTTTTTAATTGATCCGAAATATTGTGTTATACGATTTTTTTTTTGATAAAATGTGTTATAGGATTACTTCCTTTAAATGGAAGTTTTTTTCTCATTGTATATAATATTAACAAAACATAGATGGTTCTGTCAGAAATTAAGTATAAAAATAAGAATAAGTATGGCTTTGGTCGAAAAACCACGACAAATTCTTATCCTTTTAAAATAACAACTAGGGCTTTCTTATACATCCAGACGTGTATATATATATTAAACAATTCCAAAAATAAAAAATACAAATCAGAGAATTCCCTATTTTTATTGATTACATAGTTGAAATAAATAAATATATGATATATATATATATATGCCAAGCGAAATACTCGACGGTTTAAACTTTAGCATTAATGTTTCAATATCCAAAGGAATATTGGCCCATGAAGTTTTACAAGTGGCCCTTCCTACGGTCCAAATCGAAGGTGGTACACATACATACATAGACAGACGAATACATACATATCTGCATGTATTGTCACATGTGTTACGTGGCATAATAACTTGGAAATCAAGGATGCGATGACTAGTTAAAACTAAAATGAAATCTAGAAGAATCTAAATGGAGCCGTTGTATGAATATTCCGGGACGAGACCGATGGAGTAATTTGTGCACTAATCAAACCACATCCAAGATTCAGGAGTTGTCTTATTCGACGTGAATATTACATGCCACTAAACTTTCCTTATACAAAGATATTCTTACCATTGCATGTGCTTATAATCGTTAGAATATTTTTAGTATTTTACCTATATAATTACGTTTATACACTTGTAATAAAATATAATGAAAATATAAGTGACCAAATTGGTTCATCTTGTGGCTTTTCCGTTTTCTCTTGCATGAATTCCTTTTACTTCTTTTTTGTTTCTTCTTTGATTAATCTTTTTAGATAAATTCATCATAAAATCTTCAACATGAGGCAAAGATTCTGCTGTTAGAGTTTTCCGGAGATTCATACACAAGGTTGAAAGGACCCTCCTCAAATTATGGTGTCAATCGAGCCGGCATGATCCGATCTGACCTGAATCCGCATTCAATCCGAAAGTTTTGGATTCGAATTCGAATCGGTCCAATTTTTTCAGATCCATGTAATTAAATCCGAAATCCATCCCTATATATTTCGGATTCTGATCAGATCGGACCGAATCAGGTCGATCCCGTATATTTTCTTTTGTAAATGTTATTTTATTTTTATTTGTTTTAAATATCGGGTTTTCGGGTCGGCTCGAAAGCGTAGAGATCTGGATCATGACAATGATGACACAACAAGAAGGGTATATATATTATGGGGGTTATATGTCCCTTTCAAAACTGTGTTCGATATTGATGGATTTTCAATATCAAGGGAGAAAATTAGAGTACAGACAAAAGTTGAAGGGCTAAATAGAAAATAAAATAAAAAGAAAAACCTCAAAAGGAAAAAAGGAAACAAGCCTCCTTAAATTCATGGAACGAGAGTGAGATTGGTACTTGTTCTGTTCTCTCAAAGAATATCGCCGCCACATTTCTTGAAGCCGACGAATTCAATCTGTTGGTCGCTGCCTCTCTGTCTGTCTCCGGTGGGCTCTGATTCTCTTCCTCAGTTTATGTTTCCGTCGCAAAAGGGTTTCGTTGGGATTGGGTCTTTGTCGTTAGGGATGTCGGCAATTTGATTTGGACTTGGGGCCTCGTTTCGCCGAATCGATCGTATAGTTTTGGAATTCTGATCGGTTCTTAGACACTATTTCGCCGAATCGATATTATAACCGGAATTCCTGATGAAATTCTGAATCTTGCGGTGTGTTTAGTGGAACTCTCACCCAAACCGCCGCGGGAAAGCTCATCGGAGAGAACGATTCCAATCTTCTCTTCGCCATCTGCAATGGATCTAAAGGAAAAGCTCGATAAGTTCCAGAAACAGCAACAAAGATGCCAATCTACATTGTCGAGCATAGCCGCGAGAGCATCATCTGCGAGGCCCTCTGTGTCAACAGCGGTCAACGGGAAGCCCGCAACTCCGATCAAGTTTTCGGACCAAACCGAACTGTACAAGCAAATCAACAGCATCAGAAAAGCTCCTGTTGGGGCTCAGATGAAGCGTGTCATCGAGTTTTTGCTTGAGGTTCGAGTCCCCCCGCCGATTTCTAATTCATGCGTCAAAAAAGTTTTCCCCTTTTGATCCTTATCCCATTAGTGATGTTGCTTTCTTGGATCACACGTCTCTGACATTTGATTTTGAACACGTCTTGTTGTGGTTTACATGGTTCTTGCAGACAAGGCAAGCCCTTACGCCCGAGGAAATAAAGGAAGCATGTTATGTCGATATGATCTCAAACAAGATTGTTTTCGATAATATGAAGAATAACCCGAAAGTACATTATGATGGAAGGCGATTCTCTTACAAGGTAACACACCATGTTATGCAATGCATGGCGTTTATGAGTTTCTGCCAGTTTAACGTTTTTCTGAAGCTTAAGGTACCTCGCAGGCCAAGCATGATGTGAAAGACAAGATTCAGCTTCTGTCATTGATACGGAAATATCCTGAGGGAATCGCAGTGGTCGAACTTAAAGATACTTACCGGAATGTAATGGGGGACTTGCAGGTAAAAACTTTATCATATGGGCATCAACCATGATGGTCATTTTAGAAATAAGCTCATGTTGGTTGGTCCCTTCGGGAAAAGGAAACATGATCTCTGTCAAATCCTCTTCATTCTCTTGGTAGCTCAGTTTGAGATAGAGGAGTGTCGGATTCTTATTAAATTTCAGAATCCTTGCATTGTGTATGCCTCGGTTGGATTAGGAATTGGAGAGAACTTATAGTATGTTCCATATTATGAGTTTGAGGTGAAACTTTGTGAAACATCATGTTAGCAGCTTCTTTCTAAGAGATTGTCTTGAGGTGATTGAGTAGTGCTATAGTAGGGGATGGGCGGAGATATGTTATGAAGCGAAATAAAGTGTTCTTGCCTTGTAATGCAGGCTCTGAAAGCTTCGGGACACATCTGGCTCCTCTCGAATGCGGATTCACGAGAAGATATAGCATACCCGAATGATTTCAAGGGCCAGATCCGGGTGGACGACGATCTTAAGCACTTGTTCCGTATCATAGAACTGCCTACCGACATGCTCGACGTGGAGAAAGAGCTGCAGAAGAGCGGGATGAAACCCGTTATGAACACTGCCCGGAGGAGGGCGGCTGCCCAGATTCGGGGAATTTCTTCTAGACCGAAGCAGAGGAAGAAGAGGCAAGGGATAAGCAAGAGAACTAAACTCACCAATGTCCATCTCCCCGAGCTCTTTCAGAGCCTCAATGGCGGCCGTTCCCGCCATTGATGTCTTTTTTCTGGATATTCTTTTTTGACAGTAGGAATTAGGAAACACACGAAAAAAAAGGCTCTTTTTGGATTCGAGTTTCTGTGTTGATAACGATGCACCAGAGATGCTGGATTGTGTTCAAATTGTCATAATTAGCTAATCATAGGATGATTAATATTCCTATATTGAATAGTATATGTAAATAATATATAGTTCACTTTGATATCTTACTTTTATTGAATGTTGTTGTATTTAGAGTTTATTTGCGGTTAGATAAAATTATTATTTTAAATGATTTATTTTTTATTATCAAGAAAATTTAAAATAAATCAATGATAGTAAATAATTTAAAATTTAATAGATTAACATTTATGATAAATATAATTGAATCATATATATTTTATATTTATGAAGATTTTTATAGTTTTTATTTATTTGTTTATAATTTAGTTACATATATATATTTGTTTGAGAGGTTTGAAGCTAGATTGTAAAGTGTAGATCCAACGGTCAAAAAATTGGAAACCCGGTTTGATCCGAGAGATGAAGTACACTCCAGGGTTTGGTTTTGTTCATCTGTGGTAAGCAAACAGGTTGAATGAAATTCCCTCGACTTGAACCGGAGATAAGATTATCTTGTAAACGAAAAAAAAAAATCTTAAATGCCTCTAATTGTTTGGAAATAAAGAGAGAGAGAAACATTCCTCCTTTAGATCCAACGGTCAAAAAATTTGGAAGGGTCACAAACTACTGTTTGAATTTCAATTTTGGACCGTTGGATCATTCTCCCATGCATAAAAACGGGCTTGTGACTTGCTTCTCAGGAGAGTCACTAGCCTGATCATTTCAAATACCCTTCTCTCTCTCTACGCTCACTCCCTCTCTCTCTAGAAATGGCTCCGGCATAGAAATCGAGGGGTGGAAAGGCATTGTAGCAGGAGAATGAGATCCTCGAGGCGACGCTACCGTCGCACGGCCTCCCGACAAGTCGTTCGAGAAAGATGCGATGGAGATGCAGGCGTTAGCCCTAGATCAATTCCACCTGATTCTGTAGGGTTTTCTTCGCACGATTCTCTGGAAAAACACAGGTACATGATATTGCAGAGAATCTGGAAACTTGTCTTGTTTTCCCCTGGAATCCCCTTGTTTCCGAGTAAAATGTGATTTTACTTTCTGACCAACCTCTTTCTTCTCTTTGATTTCAGCAGAACGACCCGTCTTCTGAATCTTTTCTTCAGACGTTGCATGTGAGGAAACCCATCATGCTCTGTAAGCCATCTTCTTGATTCTTGATTAATTCTGTTTAGGGACAGCATGTGTTATCACGTGTGCTTTGTACACTTCTGCCACATAAACCCCTCTTCCAGTCACGTTCCATCAGTTTGCTCTGAAAAAATTGTACTGCAAGTATAAAATCAGAGAAACGATCAACGCGAAGAAAAAAGTAATCTAATTAGCGATCATCAATGGAGACATCAAGCATGTGGTTTTCCCGAAGTTAATCGACTTGAGAATGTGATATATGTGTTCTTCTGGGGACTGATTTGAGAATGTTTGTGTTGCCCCCTAGACTTTCCATTCCAGCCAATCACTCGAACGAACTAAACAAAAAAGAAGGGGAAGAAGAAGCGGCCATCAATGGAACCAAGTCAAGGAAAAAAACCCTGATGCTGACTTCAAGGAGACCTTGAAAAATCTGGGCGCTAAGTGAAAGACTCTTCTCGCAGAAGAGACGAAACCTTACGAAGAGAGGTACCAGAACAAGAAAGAAGCATATCTGCAGGTTACTGCAAAGGCAAAGTGTGAGAAGGAAGCCATGAATCTGTTTGAGGATGTGCAGAAGCAGAAAACTGAAATGGAGCTGCTTGCTCAGTATCTCCGGTTCATGCAGGAAGCTGAACAGGACAACAACAGGAAAACCAATTCATCATTAACACTGGTTTGATATGAACAATATGAATGGACACTGACTACCATCTGTTTGTTGTGCTCAGGCAGCAGAAGGACCCTTATCCGCCTTCCTGATTTATGCAAACTAGAGAAAAACATCTCTGAGGGCAGGGAAAACAAGAACCTTGTGGAGACCGCACAGGTGGTATTTTTCCTATATTGATTCGCTTCCATTGTCAAGTGGGTTAGTTAATTGAGACCTGAATCGTGTGTAATATGATGGAAACTAACAGATGGCGAAGAAGAACAAAGAGTCATACCTGCAAGAAATGGACGTCTACAAACGGATGAAGGAAGAAGAAGAGATGAATCAGAAGAACGCAGAGGAGGAACTGTTGAAACTCAACAAACCGGAAGCACTTCAACAACTCCAGAAGGAGAAAACAGAAAATTTCTTGCAGAGGAAGAAAGTGACCGAGAAGAACAAGAAGAATGAAAATGTTGATCCTAACAACCCCAAGAAGCCTTCTTCTTCACTCCTTCGCTTCAGGTATTAAACTTAAGCTCAATCAAACCGGAATGAGTCAGCGGCTGAATCTCGGTTTTTTACCTCATACCGGATCATTACTTTTTAAACCCTAACTGTTTGTGTTCTTGTGCAGAAAAGATGCGAGGAAGGCTTTGCCAGAAAGAATGCCCTGAAATCGACAACACGACCAATTACCAAGTTTTGAAACATTTTTTAAAATACACCATAAGTTTTGAAACATTTTGCAAAGTCATATTCATTCGCTAGTTCGTTTTTGATCCCGACCCCAAACACAAATCTTTACAGGAACTAAGTGAAAAAGAGAGGCAAAGTTACATAGGAAGGGCTGCGGAGTTGGTGGAGATAACCAGGTAACGTAGAATCCCTCCTTTCAATTCACCATCCACACTGGTTTGATATGAACAATATGAATGGACACTGATTACCACCTGTTTGTTGTGTTCAAGAAGCTGAAGGATTCGCTTATGCCCAAACAGCCCTTGTCAGCGTTCCTGATTTACGATGACGAGGGAAGAACAGCTCTGTGGGCATAAAAACAAGAACCAAGTGGAGGTCGCTAAGATTTGGTTCATCAAACCTAGTACGAATGGTATCTCCAGGTTATTGCGAAGGGGAAGTGCGAAAAGGAAGCATTGAAGAGCAGATGCAGAAAACTTGGTAATATAGATCCCTCCTTTTCAATTCTTCATCAACATCGGTTTGATATGAACAGTATGGATGGGGCTACCACCTGTTTGTTATAATCAGGATGCAGTAGGACCCACTTAAACCAAAAAAGCCCTTGTCAGCGTTCCTGATTTATGCAAATGATAGAACAGCCTTGCGGACAGAAAACAAAAACCAAGTGGAGGTCGTTAAGATGACAGGAGACTAGTGAAGAACTTGTCTGAAAAACAAATGGCATAAAAAGAACAGAGAGGTATACGGGCAAGAAATTTGAGGACATTAAAGGGATAAAAGAAGAAGAAGAGACGAATCTGAAGAAAGAAGAGGTGAAACTGATGAAACTCCTCACATGGGAAGCTCTTCGACTGCTTGAGAAGAAAAAGAAAACCGAAAACGTAATAAAGGTCACTTACTTTCCCATAGCTGTTGTCCAATCAATGAAAACTTAGCTCATAGTGTGTTTAAATTTGAGGTTGACGGGATCTTTGCCATTAATTTTCTTGCAGAAGAAGAAAGAAACCCAGAAGAATAAGAAGAACCCAAGTAGCCCTCTTCTTTACTCCTCTTAGCTACCGACCTAAATCCATCAGACACGAATGAATCACTGTGTCAAACTCGGTTTTTTATCTCAAAACCCTAACTGTTTGTATAAATGCACAGTGAAGAAGACTTTTCGAGATGAACGCCCTTGTTTCGATAAAACAAAAGGTAAATAACGTCAGTATTTTCTAAAACACATCGTGGAGAAATGTAATGAAATTAACCCTTTGGAGAAAAATTCTGGATTTTGATGCGAAAATTTGGTTGTTTGCAATTCTGGTGTTAACCCGGTTAAATTATCACCTGTCAGTTGCGTTCAAGAAGCTGAAGGACCTGCTTAAGCCCAAACAGCCCTTGTCAGCGTTTCTGATTTATGCAAAGGAGAGAAGAACAGCTCTGCAGACAGAAGGGTATCTCCAGGTTATTGCAAAGGAAAAGCACGAGACGGAAGCCATGATGGTGTTTGGGGATGAGGAGTTGCAAAAAACTGCAACAGAGCTGCTTGATCTGGTATTTAGATCCTTCCTTTTAATTCTTGTGCAGGAAGCTGAAATTGACAACATTAAGACGTCCAGTTAATATTTTTCTTCCGTTTCGTTTCATCATCAACACCGGTTTTATATCAACAATTTAGATGGGCACTGTCTACCATCTGTTAGTTGTGTCCAGGATGCAAAAGGACCCGCTTAAGCCTAAAGAGCCATAATCAGCGTGTCAGATTTGTGCAAATGTGAGAAGAACAGCTCTGCGGGCAAAAGACAAGAACCAGGGGGAGATCGCGAAGATGGCAGTAGAAGAGTGGATGAACTTGTCTGAAAAACAAAAGGCTATTCGTGGACTGTTTCCCATATAATTCCACTGCCATTAATAGGTGGGCTAGTTAATCGATATCTTAAATGTGTGTAATATCATGGAAATTAACAGATGACGAAGAAGAAGGGAGAGTGATGCATGCAAGAAATGGAGGACTACAAACGGTTGAAGGAAGAAAAAGCGACAAATCTGCAGAAAGAAGAGATGGAATGGATGAATCTTCACAAACAGGAAGCACTTCAACTGCTCAAGAAGGAGAAAACTGAAAACATGATAAAGGTCCCTTGGTTTCCCATAACCATCGTGCAATTGATGAAAACTAAGCTCGTATTGTGTTTAAATTTGAGGTTGACGGGGTCTTTGCCATTAATTCTCATGCAGAAGAAGAAAGTAACCCAGAAGAATAAGAAGAACCCAAGTAGCTCTCTTCTTTACTCCTCTTAGCTACCGACCTTAATCCATCAGACACGAATGAATCACTGGCTCAAACTCGGTTTTTTATCTCAAACCCTAACAGTTTGTGTAAATGCACAGTGAGGAAGACTTTTCGAGATGAACGCCCTGGAATCAACAACTCAACCATGAACGCCCTTGTTTCGATAAAATGGAAGGTAAATAACGTCACTATTTTCTAAAACACATCGTAAGATTTGTAGAAACTTAGGATGGAGAAATGTTATGAAATTAAACCTTTGGAGAAAAATTCTGGATTTTGATGCTAAAATGTGTTGTTTGCAATTCTGGTGTTAACCCGATTAAATTATCAACTAAACCGTTTTTTCAAACTGAAAAACGAAGGGTATCTCCAGGTTATTGTGGCAGAGGAGAAGCACTAGATGGAAGCTATGATGCGGTTCGGGTTTTGAGCAGAAGCAGAAAACTGCAGTGGAACAGCTTGATAAGACAATATAGATCCCTCCTTTCACATCTGGTGCACGAAGGTGAGACAGGACAACAAGAAGATAACCTGGTAATATATAACCCTCCTTTTAATATATCATCCACACTGCTTTGATATGAACAATATGAATGGGCACTGATTACCACCTGTCAGTTGCATTCAAGAAGCTGAAGGACCTGCTTAAGCCCAAACAGCCCTTGTCAGCGTTACTGATTTATGCAAACAAGAGAAGAACAGCTCTGCAGACAGAAGGGTATCTCCAGGTTATTGCAAAGGAAAAGCACGAGACGGAAGCCATGATGGTGTTTGGGGATGAGCAGGAGCAGAAAACTGCAACGGAGCTGCTTGATCTGGTTTTTAGATCCCTCCTTTTAATTCTTGTGCATGAAGCTGAAATTGACAACATTAAGACCTCCAGTTTATTATTGCAAGAAAAATTCTAAATTTTGATGCTAAAATCTGTTTGTATACAGTTATGGCATTAACCCGGTTTAATTTATCAACTAAACCAGTATTTTAAACGGAAGAAAAGGTATCTCCAGGCTACTATTGCAGAGGAGAAGCACAAGATGGAAGCTATGAAGCTGTTTGGGAACGAGCAGAAGCAGAAAACTGCTATGGAGAACTGCTTGAGAAGGTGATTCAGATCCCCCCTTTCACATCTGGTGCAGGAAGGTGAGACAGGACAACATTATTTTTATTTCAATCCTGAGGTAAAAATCATTACTTTAGACCCTAACATTTGTGTAAATGTGCAGAAAAGAAGCGAGGAAGACTTTTCAAGATGAATGCCCTGATTCAACAACTCGACCATGAACGCCCTTATTTCATTAAAATGGAAGGTAAATAACGTCAGTAAGGTAAATAATGTCAGTATTTTCTAAAACACTTAATAAGTTTTGTAACGTTTTGTAAGGTCATATTCTTTCGCTAGTTTGTTTTTGTTCCCGAACAAAAAAAAAACTTTACAGGATTTAAGTGAAGTAGAGAGGCAAATTTACAATGGAAAGGCTGCGGAGTTGATGTTGAGGTACAAGAAGGAACTTGAATAGGACAAAACAAAGTGTGCTACTTTACTTCATAGAAGTAAGCTAATAACGAACAAATCCCAAGGAGAGATATTAGCAAAGATGTTCACCTTTGGTCATATTGAATGTCTTTTGATATGAATACTAATACTAAATTTTAGGATGCAGAAATGTTATGGAATGAACCCTTTTTAGAAAAATTCTGGATTTTGATGCTAAAATCTGTTTGTATACAGTTGTGGCATTAACCCGGTTTAAATTATGAACTAAACCGGTATTTTAAACGGAAAAAAAAAAGGTATCTCCAGGTTATTATTGTAAGAGAAGAAGCACTAGATGGAAACTATGAGGCTGTTTGGGAATGAACAGAAGCTGAAAACTGCAATGGAACTGCTTGATAAGGTAATATAGATCCCTCCTTTCAATTCTTGTGCAGGAAGCTGAGACAGGTAAACAAGAAGATAGCCAGGTAATATAGACCCCTCCTTTCAATTCATCAACCACACTGGTTTGATATGAACAATATGAATGGGCATTGACTACCAATTGTTAGATGTGTCCAAGTTGCTGAAGGACCCCCTTATGTCCAAACAGCCCTTGTCAGCGTTTCTGATTTATGGAAGCCAGAGAAGAACAGCTCTGCTGGCAAAAAGCAAGAACGGAGTGGAGAACGCGAATTTGGCAGCAGAAAAGCGGAAGAACTTGTCTGAAAAACAAAAGGCGCCATACACGGACTCTTTCCGATATTATTTCACTGCCATTGTCAGGTGGGTTAAGTTAATGAATATCTAATATGTGTGTAATATAGTGGAATTGAACAGATGATGAAGAAGAAGGGAGAGGTATGCATGCGAGAAATGGAGGTCTATAAACGGTTGAAGGAAGAAGAAGAGACGATATTGCAGAGAGAAGAGATAGAATGGATGAAACTTCACCAAACTTGGTCGTATTGAATGTCCAGGTTATTATTGCAGAGGAGAAGCACTAGATGGAAGCTATGAAGATGTTTTGGAATGAGCAGAAGCAGAAAACTGCTTTGGAAAACTGCTTGATAAGGTATTAAAGATCCCTCCTTTCACATCTGGCTCAGGAAGGTGAGACAGGACAACAAGAAGATAACCCGGTAATATAGAACCATCCTTTTAATATATCATCCACACTGCTTTGATATGAACAATATGAATGGGAACTGATTACCACCTGTCAGTTGCGTTCAAGAAGCTGAAGGGTATCTGATTTATGCAAACGAGAGAAGAACAGCTCTGCAGACTGACGGGTATCTCCAGGTTATTGCAAAGGAAAAGCACGAGACGGAAGCCAAGATGCTGTTTGGGGATGAGCAGGAGCAGAAAACTGCAACGGAGCTGCTTGATCTGGTATCTAGATCCCTCCTTTTAATTCTTGTGCATGAAGCTGAAATTGACAACATTAAGACGTCAAGTTAATATTTTTTCTTCCGTTTCGTTTCATCATCAACACCGGATTTATATCAACAATTTGGATCGGCACTGCCTACCATCTGTTTGTTGTGTCCAGGATGCAGAAGGACCCACTTAAGCCTAAAAAGCCATAGTCAGCGCGCCTGATTTCTGCAAATGTGAGAAGAACAGCTCTGCGAGCAAAAGACAAGAACCGGGGGGAGATCACGAACATGGCAGTAGAAGAGTGGATGAACTTGCCTGGAAAAGAAAAGGCTATACGTGGACTGTTTCCCATATAACTCCACTGCCATTAATAGGTGGGCTAGTTAATCGATATCTTAAATCTGTGTAATATCATGGAAATTAACAGATGACGAAGAAGAAGGGAGAGTGATGCGTGCAAGAAATGGAGGACTACAAACGGTTGAAGGACGAAGAAGCGACAAATCTGCAGAAAGAAGAGATGGAACGGATGAAACTTCACAATTAGGAAGCACTTCAACTGCTCAAGAAGGAGAAAACTGAAAACATGATAAAGGTCCCTTGGTTTCCCATAACCATCGTGCAATTGATGAAAACTAAGCTCGTATTGTGTTTAAATTTGAGGTTGACGGGGTCTTTGCCATTAATTTTCTTGCAGAAGAAGAAAGTAACCCAGAAGAATAAGAAGAACCCAAGTAGCTCTCTTTTTTACTCCTCTTAGCTACCGACCTTAATCCATCAGACACGAATGAATCAGTGGCTCAAACTATTATTTTTATTTCAAACCTGAGGTAAAAATCATTACTTTAGAAACCCTGTTTGTGTAAATGTGCAGAAAAGAAGCGAGGAAGGCTTTTCAAGATGAATGCCCTGATTCAACAACTCGACCATGAACGCCCTTATTTCATTAAAATGGAAGGTAAATAACGTCAGTAAGGTAAATAATGTCAGTATTTTCTAAAACACTTAATAAGTTTTGTAACGTTTTGTAAGGTCATATTCTTTCGCTAGTTTGTTTTTGTTCCCGAACAAAAAAAAAACTTTACAGGAATTAAGTGAAGTAGAGAGGCAAAGTAGTAATGGAAAGGCTGCGGAGTTGATGTTGAGGTACAAGAAGGAACTTGAATAGGACAAAACAAAGTGTGCTTCTTTACTTCATAGAAGTAAGCTAATAACGAACAAATCCCAAGGAGAGATATTAGCAAAGATGTTCACGTTTGGTCATATTGAATGTCTTTTGATATGAATACTAACACTAAATTTTAGGATGCAGAAATGTTACGGAATGAACCCTTTCTAGAAAAATTCTGGATTTTGATGCTAAAATCTGTTTGTATACAATTGTGCCATTAACCCGGTTTAAATTATCAATGAAACCGGTATTTTAAACAGAAAAAAAGGTATCTCCAGGTTATTATTGTAAGAGGAGAAGCACTAGATGGAAACTATGAAGCTGTTTAGGAATGAACAGAAGCTGAAAACTGCAATGGAACTGCTTGATAAGATAATATAGATCCCTCCTTCCAATTCTTGTGCAGGAAACTGAGACAGGTAAACAAGAAGATAGCCAGGTAATATAGACCTCTCCTTTCAATTCGTCAACCACACTGGTTTGATATGAACAATATGAATGGGCATTGACTACCAATTGTTAGATGTGTCCAAGTTGCTGAAGGACCGCCTTATGCCCAAACAGCCCTTGTCAGCGTTTCTGATTTATGGAAGCGAGACAAGAACAGCTCTGCTGGCAAAAAGCAAGAACCGAGTGGGAAACGCGAATTTTGCAGCAGAAAACTGGAAGGACTTGTCTGAAAAACAAAAGGCGCCATACGCGGACTCTTTCCTATATTATTTCACTGTCATTGTCAGGTGGGTTAAGTTAATGAATATCTTATATGTGTGTAATATAGTGGAATTTAACAGATGATGAAGAAGAAGGGAGAGGTATGCGTGCGAGAAATGGAGGTCTATAAACGGTTGAAGGAAGTAAAAGAGACGATATTGCAGAGAGAAGAGATAGAATGGATGAAACTTCACCAAGCTTGGTCGTATTGAGTGTCCAGGTTATTATTGCACAGGAGAAGCACTAGATGGAAGCTATGAAGATGTTTTGGAATGAGCAGAAGCAGAAAACTGCTATGGAGAACTGCTTCATAAGGTAATACAGATCCCTCCTTTCAATTTTTGTGCAGGAAGCTGAGACAGGACAACAAGAAGATAGCCAGGTAATATATACCCCTCCTTTCAGTTCACCATCTACACTGGTTTGATATGAACAATATGAATGGGTCTGACTACCACCTGTTAGTTGTGTACAAGTTGCTGAAGGACCCGTTTATGCCCAAACAGCCCTTGTCAGAGTTTCTTATTTATGGAAGCAAAAGACGAACAGCTCTGCAGGCAAAAAGCAAGAACTGAGTGGAGAACGCAAAGATGGCAACAGAAGAGTGGAAGAACTTGCCTGAAAAACAAAAGGCACCATACGCGGACTCTTGCCGATATTATTTCACTGCCATTGTCAGGTGGGTTAGTTAATGAATATCTTATATGTGTGTAATATCGTGGAATTTAACAGATGATGAAGAAGAAGGGAGAGGTATGCGTGCGAGAAATGGAGGTCTATAAACGGTTGAAGGAAGAAGAGGAGACGATGTTGCAGAGAGAAGAGATGGAACGGATGAAACTTCACCAACAGGAAGCCCTTCTTCAACTGCTCAAGAAGGAGAAAATTGAAAACATGATAAAGGTCACTTACTTCCCCACAACCATCGTCCAATTGATGAAAACTAAACTCATAGTGTGTTTAATTTTCTTTCAGAAGAAGAAAGTGACCAAGAAGAATAAGAAGAACCGAAGTAGCCCTCTTCACTCCTTCTCTTCAGCTACCGACCTTAATCCATCAAACCCGAATGAATCATCAGCTCAAACTTGTATTTTTTTCAAACCTGATTTAAAAATCATTAATTCAGAAACCCTAATGGTTGTGTAAATGCGCAGAATGAAGCAAGGAAGGCTTTTCAAGATGAAGCCCTGATTCAACAACTCGACCAGGAACGCCCCGTATTTCATTAAAATGGAAGGTAAATAACTTCAGTATTTTCTAAAACACATAATCAGTTTTGTAATGTTTTGTATGGTCATTCTTTCTCTAGGTTGTTTACGTTCACCAAAAAAAACCTTTACAGGAACTAAGTGAAGTACAGAGGCAAACTTACAACGGAAAGGCTGCGGAGTTGACGTTGAGGTACAGGTAGGAACTTGAATAGGACAAAACAAAGTGTGCTGCTTCACAGAAGTAAGCTAATAATGAACAAATCCCAAGTAGAGATATTAGCAAAGATGTTCAAGCTTGGTCGTATTGAATGTCTTTTGATATCAATGATGAATTTTAAGATGGAGAAATTTGAAGATATTAACCCTTTGTAGGAAATTCCTGGATTTTGATGCTAAAGTTTGTTAGTTTTGGAATTCTAGCATTAACCCGGTTTAAATTATAAATTAAACCGGCGTTTCAAACCGAAAAAAGGGTATGTCCAGGTTATTATTGCAGAGGAGAAGCACTAGATGGAAGCTATGAAGCTGTTTTGGAATGAGCAGAAGCAGAAAACTGGTATGGAGAACTGCTTCATAAGGTAATACAGATCCCTCCTTTCAATTTTTGTGCAGGAAGCTGAGACAGGACAACAAGAAGATAGCCAGGTAATATATACCCCTCCTTTCAGTTCATCATCTACACTTGCTTGATATGAACAATATGAATGGGCACTGACTACCATCTGTTAGTTGTGTCCAAGTTGCTGAAAAACCCGATTATGCCCAAACAGCCCTTGTCAGAGTTTCTGATTTATGGAAGCGAAAGAAGAACAGCTCTGCAGGCAAAAAGCAAGAACCGAGTGGAGAACGCGAAGATGGCAGCAGAATAGGGGAAGAACTTGTCTGAAAAACAAAAGGCACCATACGTGGACTCTTTCCGATATTACTTCACGCCATTGTCAGGTGTCTTAGTTAATGAATATCTTAAATATGTGTAATATCATGGAATTTAGCAGATGCCGAAGAAGAAGAAGGGAGAGGCATGTGTGCGAGAAATGGAGGTCTACAAACGGTTGAAGGAGGAAGAAGTGACGATATTGCAGAAAGAAGTGGTGGAACGGATGAAACTTCACCAACAAGAAGCCTTTCAATTGTCCAAGGAAAACCGAAAACATGATAAAGGCCACTTACTTTCCCATAACCATCATCCAATTGATGAAAACTAATCTCATAGTGTGTTCAAGTTTGAGGTTGACAGGATCATGTGCAATTAATTTTCTTTCAGAAGAAGAAAGTGACCAAGGAGAATAAGAAGAACTCAAAGTTGCCCTCTTCTTCACTTCTCTTCAGCTACCGACCTTATCCATCAAACTCGAGTGAATCACCGGCTCAAATTTGTATTTTTATTTCAAACCTGATGTAAAAATCATTACTTTAGAAACCCTAACGTTTGTGCAAATGTGCAGAAAAGACGCGAGGAAGGCTTTTTAAGATGAACGCCCTGGAATCAACAACTCGACCATGAATGCCGTTATTTCAGTAAAATGGAAGGTAAATAACATCATTATTTTTTTCTAAAATACATGATAAGTTTTGTAACGTTTTGCAAGGTCATATTCTTTCGATAATTTTTTTTCATTCCCGAGCAACAAAAAAACTTTATACGAGGAATTAAGTGAAGTAGAGAGGCAAAGTTACAACGAAAAGGCTGTGGAGTTGATGTTGATGTACAAGAAGGAACTTGAATAGGACAACAAAGTGTGCTGATTCACAGAAGTAAGCTAATAATGCACAAACCCCAAGTAGAGATATTAGCAAAGGTGTTCAAGCTTGGTCGTATTGAATGTCTTTTTATATCAATGATATTTTTTAGAATGGAGAAATGTTACGAACTTTAGTTGATGCTAAAATTTGCTTGTTTGCAATTCTGGCATTCACCCGGTTAAATTATCAACTAAAATGGTTTTTCAAACCGAAAAATGATGGGTATCTCCAGGTTATTATGGCAGAGGAGAAGCACTAGATTGAAGTTGTTTGGGGATGAGTAGAAACAGAAAACTTCAATGGAACTGCTTGATAAGGTAATACAGATCCCTCCTTTCAATTCTTGTGTAGGAAGCTGAGATAGGACAAGAAGAAGATAACCACACTTGTTTGATATGAACAGTATGAATTGGCACTGACTACCACCTGTTAAGTTGTGTCCAAGTTGTTGAAGGACCCACTTGTGCCCAAACATCGCTTGCCAACGTTTCTTATTTATGCAAAGGAAAGAAGAACAGCTTTGCAGTCAAAAAGCTAGAACCGTGGAGAGAACGCGAAGATGGGAGTAGAAGAGTGGAAGAACTTGTCTGAAAAATAAAAGGCACCATACGTGGACTATTTCTGATATTACTTCACTGCCATTGTCAGGTGGATTAGTTAATGAATATCTTAAATGTGTGTAATATCGTGGAATTTAGCAGATGACGAAGAAGAAGAAGAGAAAGGTATGCGTGCGAGAAATGGAGGTCTACAAACGGTTAAAGGAATAAGAAGTGACGAAATTGCAGAAAGATGAGATGGAACGGATGAAACTTCACAAACAGGAAGCCGTTCAACTGCTCAATAAGGAGAAAACTGAAAACATGATAAAGGTCACTTGCTTTCCCATAACCATCGTCCAATTGATGAAAACTAAACTCATAGTGTGTTCAAGTTTGAGGTTGAGGGGATCATGTGCCATTAATTTTCTTGCAGAAGAAGAAAGTTCCTCTTCTTCACTCCTCTTCAGCGACCTTAATCCATCAAACCCGAATAAATGACCGGCTCAAACTTGAATTTTCATTTGAAATCTGATGTAAAAATCATTACTTTAGAAACCTAACGTTTGTGTAGTTGCGCAGAAAAGACGGGAGGTAGGCTTTTCAAGATGAACGCCACGGAATCAACAACTCGACCATGAACGCCCTTATTTCAATAAAATGAAAGGTAAATAACGTCATATTCTTTCACTAATTTTTTTCGTTCCCGAGCAACAAAAAAACTTTAGAGGAATTAAGTTGAGTAGAGAGGCAAAGTCACTACGAAAAGGCTGTGGAGTTGATGTTGAGGTACAAGAAGGAACTTGAATAGGACCAAACAAAGTGGTGTTGATTCACAAAAGTAAGCTAATAATGCACAAATCCCAAGTAGAGATGTTAGCAAAGATGTTCAAGCTTGCTCGTATTGATTGTCTTTTGATATCAATGATAATATTTAGAACAGAGAAATGTTACGAACTTAACCCTTTGGACAAACTTTCTGGAATTTGGTGGTAAAATTGGGTGGTTTGCAATTCTTGTGTTAACCTGGTTTAAATTATCAAGTAAACCGTTGTTTCAAACTGAAAAAAGAAGGGTATCTTCAGGTTATTATGGCGGAGAAAATGGAGGCTATGCAACTGTTTGGGGATGAGTAGAAACAGAAAACTGCATTGGAACTGCTTGATAAAGTAATACAGATCCCTCCTTTCAATTCCTGTGCAGGAAGCTGAGACAGGACAAGAAGAAGATAACAACACTTGTTCAATATGAACAGTATGAATGGACACTGACTACCATTTGTTATGTTATGTCCAAGTTGCTGAAGGACCCGCTTGTGCCCAAACATCCTTGCCAGCGTTTCTGATTTATGCAAAGTAAAGAAGAACAGCTCTGCAGGCAAAAAGCAAGAACCAAGTGGAGATCGTGAAGATGGCAGTAGAAGAGTGGAAGAACTTGTCTGAAAAACGGAAGGCACCATACGTGGACTGTTTTCCATATTACTTCACTGACATTGTCAGGTGGGTTAGTTAATCAATATCTTAAATGTGTGTTACATCGTTGAAATTAACAGATGACGAAGAAGAAGGAGAAATGGTTGAAGGAAGAAGAAGTGACGAAACTGCAGACTTAAGAGGTGGAACAGCTGAAACTTCACAAACAGGAAGTCCTTCAACTGCTCAAGAAGGAGAAAACTGAAAACATGATAAAGGTCACTTACTTTCCCATAACCATCGTCCAATTGCTCATAGTGTGTTTAAGATCATGTGCCATTAGTTTTCTTTCAGAAGAAGAAAGTGACCAAGAAGAATAAGAAGAACCCAATGGCCCTCTCTTCACTTCTTCTCTTCAGCTACCGACCTTAATCCATCAAACCCAATGAATCACCGGCTCAAACTTGTATTTTTATTTCAAGCCTGAGGTAAAAATCATTACTTTAGAAACGCTAACGTTTGTGCAAATGCGCAGAAAAGATGCGAGGAAGGCTTTTTAAGATGAACAGCTCTGTATTCAACGAGACTATGAACGCCGTTATTTCAATAAATTGGAAGGTAAATAACGTCAGTATTTTCTAAAAGACATCATAAGTTTTGTAACGTTTTGCATGGTATATTCTTTCGATATTTTTTTTCGTTGCCAAGCAACAAAATAACTTTATAGGAGGAATTAAGTGAAGTAGAGAGGCAAAGTTACAACGAAAAGGCTGTGGAGTTGATGTTGAGGTACCAGAAGGAACTTGAATAGGACAAAACAAAGTGTGCTGACTCACAGAAGTAAGCTAATAATGAACAAATCCCAAGTAGAGATATTAGCAAAGATGTTTCAAGTTTGGTCGTATTGAATGCCTTTTGATATCAATGATAATATTTAGAATGGAGAAATGTTACGAACTTACCCCTTTGGAGAAAATTTCTGGATTTCAATGCTGAAATTTGGTTGTTTGCAATTTTGGTGTTGACCAGTTGAGATTATTATTTCAAAGGAGGTGAAAGTCATGAAGCTGTTTGGAAACGAGCAGAAGCAGAAAACTACAGTGGTTCCACTGTTTGATCAGGTAATATAGATTCCTACTATCAATTCTTGTAGATGATGAGGGTCACTTACTTTCCCATAACCATTGTCCAATTGAGGAAAACTAAGGCTCCACTCCCCCCATTTCCCCACAATTTTCTCCAAATCTCGGATACCCCTCTACAAAGCAGAATCCTATCCTCTGTAATTACTAAGGCAGACAGAAAAGATGCCCCCTGTAAAACCGTTGTTGCCCCAATCAGAAGCCTATCCTCTGCATTGTGAGTCAGCTCTTTGCTTGCTGCTCCCGTCTTGCTCCTCAAAACAACACGAAAGGGTTTATTATCAGGATCATGTGTCGTTAATTTTCTTGTAGCAGAAGAAAGTGACCAAGAAAATAAGAACGAAAATATTGACCCTAACAAACCCAAGAAGCCTTCTTCTTCACTCCTGTTCAGATACCGACCTCAATCCATCAAACCCGAATGAACCAATGGCTCAAACTCGGATGTTTACCTCAAACTCGGAACCCTAATCGTTCGTGTAATTGTGCAGCAAAGACGTGAGGAAGTAGAACGCCTTGGAATCAACAACTCGACCATGAACGTCCTCATTTCGGTAAAATGGAAGGTAAATAACATCGTTGTTTTCTAACACTTACCATAAGCTTTGTAACATTGTGCAAGGGCATATTTGCTAGTTAACTCCGCCTAGATATGAGTTCGGCTCGCCAGCAACCCACCATTTTATTGGATTGGACTAGTCCAAACCGTTTTTAAAAGGGTTGAAAGTAAGCACCTCGGGCTCGGCTCACCTAGCTCGTGGACTACGAGCCAATTCGCAAATTAAAAAAATATAAGCTAAAAAATAAGCATACTAAAATAATACGTCGATTGAGAAAAAAGTCATACAAACAATTACGAAAACTATAAAAAAAATACAAAAGTGTAAGCGAAATCAATCATCTCCAGAAAGCATTCATTCTTCCCTTTGAAGTTTTCATATACTTCACGCTATCTCTGATTTGAGAGAGCATATCTAATAGCCTTTAAACCATCTTGCACAATTAGATTGAAATGTTAACTGAATCTTTATCCAAAGCAATTATGAAGTCTTTCTTCTCTATCTCCACTTTTTCAAAAAAATCATGCACCTTAATTGCTAAGGTTTCACCGGTATGTAGATAAGGCATATCGATGAAAGATATGATTTTACTATTTAACTTCTAGTTTTGATCTACATAATGCGCATCAAGCAAATATAACCTTCATCGGTGATATCGGTCGCCCAACAATCCGATATCCTATTAGGAATTCTTTCTGATTCATATTTTACCCTTGTTTTAAGCTTAAAATAATACCCATATACACGTGAAGAATGTGTTTCTACCATATAGCTTAAACTCTGAACTGATACTATTAGAGAGAAAATAAGATTAATAAGTATAGAAAAGAAGTTACGAGAGACGTTTAAAATGATTTAGACATGTACAACGTAGGGCGATAGATGTGCCAGTTAAAAGTTAGAGAGTATATGAATGAAGTTGAAGAGAAAAGAAAAAGGTAGACCTAGTTTTACTTGAGAACGCGTTATTAGGAATGAATTGAAATAGTTGTAAATTCCGAAAGAGTTAACTCAAAACCGAAATAAATGGAAACGAAAAATTCATATAGTTGATCCCAAAATATACTTGAGATTAATGCGATATTGATGTTGAAGTTGATGATATTCATGCCCTTGTTTGTTTTCATTCCCTATTCGGAAATAAGAAACAAAACCTTGTAAGAACAAGTGAAGAAGAGAGGGAAAGTCACAATTGATGGCGAGGTACAAAAAGGAGCTTGAGGAGTACACCGCCAAATTCACAACAAATCCAATGTAGAATTATTAGTAAAGACGTTCAAGCTTGATATTAAACATTTTTTATTTCAATTTACATCTTAGGATCGAGAAATGTTATAAAGGATAGTTCGGTGCACAAAACGTCCACGTTGAGTGGAGTGACGGGGAAAAATCCCACCACAAAGGTGTATTGTAGGCAAACTTTACCCTGTAGAAATATATGTAAGAGGTTGTTTCCAAAACTCGAATCTGTAGCCTAGTCACAACGGCAACACCCTAATGGTGCGCCAAGGTTCGATTGAGAAATGTTATAATTTAAAAAAAAAAATATAACCCTTTGGAGAAAATTGCTGGACTTCGCTGCTAACATTTGGCTGTTTAGAATTGTAGTATTAAACCAAATTAGTTTATCAAACCAAGATTTAAAAAGTAATGATTTTTCTATACCATTTTATCTTAAAAAATCGTCAATATACACTTAGAACTATTCCTGTAAAAACGTGGGGAAGCCAGCGTCTATCTCGACCGTTGGATCGAACGGAAAATCAACGTGGAAGATGGGAGAACTCCCCGTGGAGGTGTTAGCCGAGATCAATCCCAGGTAATCCGTCGGATCAGAACCAGACACATGGCAAAATCCCCCGACCCCGAAGTCGCAGTCGTAAAACGACGTCGCTGGGAAGGAGAAAGCGTCGTCCAGACCCTCGGTCCGTACGGTGAGATTGCTCCGGAGGTTGTCGAGAAGGTCCTTTTGGTAGTTTCCAGTGGGTTCGGGTTTTTTTGCGACTTGCTTCGCAGGGGAAGGGATCGCCTGCGGGCAGCACGTGTGCGTTCCTCTGTACGTCACTTCGAAGACCGTTGGATCGCCGTCCGATCTCTGGACTTGCTTCGTTGCCAAACAGTTCTGCGTGTTACGGTACGTGCACCTGTAATAACTCCTGAAAATCCACACGCACATTGGTCATGATCATGTTCATGTTCATGATGATGATGACGATGGTGATGGTGATGGTGATGGTGATGGTACCTTGGAAATCTAGCGCCCAAAATATCTTTCTGACCGTACTTTCTCCAGTTATAGCCGTCATCTTGAGGTCCATCTAATCCTCTCTCTGGACTGATTCTCACTTGCTCTGTCCACTTTGGCATCATCTTCCTGCAATTTTCCCACCCAATTTTTTTTTTTATGTTATTTATTTGCATTTTTTAATTTTTAATTTTTTATAACCCTTTTTCAAAATTTATCAGAACATTATCTATTTTGGTACTTAAAAGCCCAATTCTTTTTTATCACTTTTTGTTAAAAAAAAAAAAAAGAGCCCAATGATCATCACCTCACCCACCTCTTCTTTGAATTAAAGTTGTAACCTTGCAGATTACTCTCCTTCGATCCTCCATCGAGAATCTCTTCGCTCCTCGGACTCTCGTTTAGCGACGCCGGAGATTCCGGAATAATGCCGGGATTCTTCACCGGAGACACCGTCGCCGCCGGCGTTATGGGTTGTACGGGCGGTGAGCGGGACCAGTTGAGCATCAGCAGAGCTTTCTCGTACGAAGTAACTATCCGCCGGACCAGAATCTCGTTGGTCTCAGCCACCGGAGCCGACGCCGGAGATTCTCCGATCTGTGACCGGAGCTGCTTCGCCGCCTCCATCCCGTGGATCAGCTCGCTGATTAAAGTCCTCGGATCCCAACTCAACATATGCATGCTTTCCATTTTTATTCAGAACCTCCCAAAGTAGAAACCTTTTCTGAATCTATGATCTGTCGGAAGATTCTGTAGATTGGCTACAAACTCATCCCGCCGGGAACGGTAAATTCCAGTGACCGGAGAATTGAATGGTCGAGTGGAAAGGGTCAACAATGGTACAGTAATTTCTGGTACAAATTCAATGGAACGGTGGAATCAGAATTGGAGAGGAGAAGGTTTGTAGTGAAATGAAGTTGTTTGGTCTTTGAGATATAAAGCCATTGGGAGGAAGAAGATGCGTTTGTATATGAAATTTCTGACTAAGTAAAAAACAAATATTCAAACATATGAGAAAAGTCTTTGGTCTTAAGAAGTATGGTTTCAGTGGGAAATTGAGGGATGGTCAAATTCTGACCAATTCAAATGCACAGTTAATCCCTTTATGATATAAAGTAATCATGTAATTAAACTGATAATCATACCAACTAATCATATTATACATATATACATATATATATATATATATAACTGTCCCTTTCATCGTCTTGTCCAAAACCTGTCGAACCACGACTTTGTAGTTACAGTTAAGATTCTTTGTTATTTATATGCAAAAGTTGTCAGACGTTTTGTTAGAGTATATGTATTTCGTGCGTCTTGAATTAGGTCTACGAATTATGGAATGAGAAAAAAAAACGGTATTTTATTGCATTATGACGTAATACAAACACACACATAATATGTAATGTATATATATATATATATATGTATATGTATATGTATATAATTTGAGTGGAGTATGAGAAGGCATGTGCTGACCAAGTCGCCCAACAAAACGTCTCCATTTACATTTGGAAAACTTCACATCTAATGATTGATATTAACCTCTTGTGACCGTCAAAGGGTTATTTTAATCTGTCCGAAATATTAAATTGCTGAAAATAATATAATTTTTTTTATGATAATTATTTGTACTCGTTTTCCCAAAGTTGTATTCATGCCATTCTCCAACTCGCTCAACAGAATAATAAGCACATTTAAATATTATAAATTATAGTAAAACATCTCTTTATAAAATTAATACCAGTCATAACTTTAGTAGAAATGATATTTTTGCGTAATAATAAATGGACAGGTAAACAAAACAATTGAACGGGATGCACGCCATCTATTATATTTAGTTAAAATTAATACCAGTCATAGAAGCTTCACACAAGAACGGCCTGTATCAGTCTTCAGTCAAAGGGATTGGACCGACGAAACTTCAAACCTTCAATCCGCGTGGAATTGCATTTTGGGCTTTTTTTTACAATAAAGTATTTATGTAATTCTGCTGACGTCACGGTGCGTTGCTGTCTTTAAATCAGATTAATCACACAATTAGTCATTTCAGAACGATTATAATAATCAATAAAGTACAGTTTATTACTAAAAATTAATTTTTTTTTTTTTTAACCAGGAGCTATAATGGGATACACATTAAGTCAACAAGTCAATTCCAGTCTCAAGAGTTCTGAAATCTTTCTAAACGACACCAAGAATATGCTTGTAAATTAGAATGTGAAATATTTTGATAGGATATTAGAATACGAACCAAGTAGTTATAAATTGAGATCGGAGAAAAGGTAATGCAACTGAAAAAAAAAACCTGTGGTGCCAAAAATCCTCTTTTTTCTTTAGAATTTATTATTGACCAAATATTCCAAAAACAAAAGATTGTGACTTTTGCAATTGACATCGGAAAACGACGTATTATTCCATGAGTTTTTCCAAACTTTAAATAAATAATATTTAATAATTCCATTTTATTTTGCAGCGTCCAATATAATATTTGTTTTATAAAACCAAAGCAAGCGAGGAGGCGCGTGTCCTCCACTTAATGTGAAGGCGCGTGGGAAGGAAATGTTGCAAAGGCCCAAATCTAATGGGCCTATCTGGATCAAGTAACGTCGGCCCATATTGAGATTCGTTTTTTAAAGGCTTGCAGATAATTAGCCTTAAGACGACAACATTTTTTGGGATATATCATTATTACGAATCAAGGCATCTATTATTAATACTTACATTAATCCCTTATCGTTAAGAATGTTAAAGCTTATATTCAAATATTGATGATGTATATTATGTTAAATTAAAGTTTATTGTGATCCATTAACTTTTTGCCAATTAAATGGCCACGTGCAACGATTTTTGTTGTGTGTATTTTTTAAAATATACTTTTCATTAAATCAGAATCCAGAATGTATCATAAAAACAAACGAAAATTTAGAAATTAGTCTTTCAAGAATTTTTAATAGGATTTATCCTTATATTTTCACACACATAATTGGTTTAAGGACCTATCTTTGATCTCTGACTCATTTACAACATATACCATTTTTGTAATATTGAAAAATATTTCCTCGTTTTAAATTATTTTCCTTGTTTTTCTTCACTAATATTGGTTTGATTTTTAACTCACTACTAAATAAATTTCCACGTCATTTATTGCGAATCAGGGGACGTCTCTGCATCATTTATAGTCCGAATTCTTCTTGTAAAGACCGTGAAGATGTCGGCTCACGACAGTCCCCGTGACAAGCAACACGGCCACGTCCCTTTGTCCTTCCGTAAGTTCTGCGAAGTTTCTTTTAGGATTCTTTTTTTTAATAATTAAAAAATACGCATGCAATCATTTAAGATACTAGAAACCATTGGCATATTTTAATATTCGGATATTTCATAACGAGATACGATTCCTTAATGATACGTATGACCAATTGGGATATATATTAATAATTGCAGCCAATTATTTTGTGAAAATCGTCGTAATAGTGATCATTTACACATGGGTTAACAGTCTTGACTAATATAGGAATGGGATATATATATATATATATATATATATATATATATAAATGTAGGATAATACTCTTTTTTTTTGGGTAAAGATGTTTTATACTATACGTGAAACCAGATAAAATATCAATTGAAATGTGATGAACCGTTTGAATTATGAACTGTTTTATTTTCTATAAGATAAGATGCATGCATCTCTTTTTATTTATCCTTTTTTAACACTTAATTAAAAAATAATTAGGATTGAATTTAGTTTATTTTAAGAATTGGCTGATCATTGAAGTTAGTGATGATTTTTAAATATCGAAGACAGTTGGACGGTTGGTATAAATGTGCTTTGCCAGGATTTCAAACACGGTTTCGATTTGGGTTTTTTCAAAACTCTGGTCTATGTCTAAATTAATTTTGTAATCATAAAACTAATAAAAAATATCAATTACTAGTTTCGGTTACGAATAATGTATAAGCATATATATAGATTTTTTATAAATTAATTTTCTATTCGTTTATTCGTATAATACAAGCCCTTTTGACATGAATCATAACGAATATAACCATATAGATTATCAATATAGTTATTAAAGCCTTATTAGATTAAGCTTTTTTTAAATAAAAACAGAAATCTTATTAGTTTAACTAAACTCTTGATAGGGTGCCAAGTATGGCTTGATATGTTTGTACACTTATTGGTAAAGTGAAATAAATCTAAAATATGTCCATCAAATTTCGTCTTACACGAAATATTCAGCCAAAGTTTTTGCACATGCTTATGTTTTCATGGTTTCTAACAAGATTGATAAAAAAATATTTACCAAAAAAAAAAAGATTGATTAAGAAGAGTCATACATCATTTTTTTTATTTAGTCAAATACATTCAACTCACCTATATAAGGAGCGATGCTTAGAATAACATATAGTTATATGGGTCTATTTGCGTGTATAAAATCAGTGGAATTGAATAGAATAACATATAGTTATACCCGAATAATTTTTAATTAAAAAATGAATAATTTGGTATACTTTTTATCACACCAAAAATTAATGGATTTCAAACAAATTATTAAAATAGCCTAATAAATTGAAAAAAAATTAAAATCTCTTTACAGATATTAATCAACATATAACCATATACTACAACCAAAATAAAATAAAAAATATCGTATAAGAATCAAATGAATATAATCTTTCAAACTAAAAATTCAAAATTTAAAATATTCGTATGAGGCATATAGTACTAGAAAACAATTTTCTCTATCCAAAATGTAGATCAATTGCATATTATAACATAGTTTTTTGGAATAGTTGGCAAATGGTATATATTGTGAATTTTGCAGATTTATTACATGCATCTATTTGTGAATCCATCGTACATCAAAGGATTCTAACTTTGGCTATATAACAGATATTCTAAAAAAAATAAAAGAAAATACAGATCAGCATCACACCATCCGGAACGTGACTTAGCTCAATGATTGTTCTACCATCTTTCTCATTATACATGAACACATGTATATATATATACGCACTAACAAATGGCTTCATGCAACTCAGAATCCCTAAATCAAAATCGACCCACCAAAGAAAAAACACAACCAAAAGCAAAAAGATCACTTTTTTTTTTCTTGGGTATCACCCAAGTTTCCTTTTTTTCTCCTTTTAATCTTTTTTTTTTCTTATAAAGAACCTTTCTTTGTTATTCTTCCTAAACTCCATTTCGTTGTTATAATGGGCAACTGTATGAACGGGAGCCACATTAAGACAGTCGAAGAAGAGAAACAAGATGTGAAAAAAGATTACAAAGGGAAGGATCGGAAGGTGAAGATCATTCTGACGAAAGATGAGTTGGAGAAAATTATAATGTTCCAACTGAACGCCGAAGGCGGCAAAGGAGGGGACGGCAGCGCGTTGAGTTCAATCGCCGATTTCCTCAGAGAGTTGGAGGCGGAGAGATCTGCCGCTGACTCCGAAGCTCGCCGGAGGTGGAGGCCGTCTTTGGACAGGATCATGGAGTGGACAGAAGATGAATTTCCTTAAACTTTTTTAAGACGTGTATTAAAAAAAAAAAAAGATTTTTTCGGGTGTTTGCTTTTGTCTGTTTTTTTTTCGGGATTTTTTTTTATGATTTATCCCGGTGTTTCCAATGGACCGAAGCACTCAGCCCCAAAAAATTCAAAAAAAAATGTATTTTTCTTTTGAAAAAATGTTATTTCCATTGTAATTTATGTACGTATCCTAATGAATTAGTTATGGTAGAGTTTAGCTAAAATTCTTGCCCGTTTAATGTGTATATGTATGCTTTCCATAAAATCGGAGAGATGGACGGTTGAGATCGGATCATGAATTTTGACGGTTAGGATGTTTGTTTATGTTGACGATTGAGATCAAGCGAAAAAAATGAATGGAACGGATGAGATCAAATTTTTTAAAATCGACGGCTGTAATTAGCGATTTAGATTAATCTGAAAAACAAACGGTTGAAATCGCTCTTTGAGATAAATGATAAGTATTCGACGGTTGAGATCGGTTATCGGATAAGAAAGAAGCACCTTCAGAAGGCTCTTCTAGGGCTGACGTCACGCCAATCCCAGCCTCGGCCCTCCTTCATTATTGTATTGAAAGGTTCAGTATCACTTCTTCCTACTTGTGCTTGACTTCCTCCATATCTAATGTTTTGTTTAAATGCCCTACTCGTCCACAACCAAAGCCGATTGCCGGCAGATTCTCATTGTTGATGCGAGGGGATGACTACGACGAGTGGTCTATCAACATATATATATGTCAAGTACTAAAATCACGGAAAACGTTTGGTTTTGTTGATGGCTCGATTCTGAAACCCGATGCGGACTCAATGGATTTTGAAGACTCGGACACGAACAATGCTCTCATTGTTTCATGGATCAAGAACACGCTTGAACCTCCTCTCCATCCGGAACTACCTCGCTTGGACACAGACAGACCGAGCCATCTCTAGGTGGACATGGGAAGACCCCCAGGAAACTCCTGACTCAACTAGTTGTTTACGAATTATGGAAAGAAAGGAATGGTCGTATCTATAGGGACAAATGAAACTCCGTGAGCTAATTAAGAGTCAAGATCGACCGATCTATACGCAACATACTTTCTTTTTGTAGAAACTGAGACAAATCCTACAGTTGTGGTATCGAATTAGCTAGTTATTACTAAAACCTTGCTCAATTAAACTTACGCATGGGATCCCTTTGATATGTATATCTATTTCAACTTTTTGTAATAAACTTTGTAATTTTTTGAGGGTAGAAATGCAACAACCACATTTTATCCAAAAAACAATTTCTTAATGAAGCCCATAAAGTCCCACAACAAACATTAGTTCTACTTGGGCCTAAAAAAAATTGTGTAGAATTGGTACCAAACCAAGCAAAAAGCAAAAGCAAAAGCAAAAATATTATTAGTAATTAAAATTTGTTACCGTTTTGTTAAAATGAATACTTTGTTACCTTAATTTTGTATATACATCTATTTTGCGGGGCCCATCGCAGACGGGAGCGGCACATGAATCCCCTGCCATATGATATGATGCATCAAAAATATATATTTATTGAATCGTTACATTTGATATAATGTGTATATGTCAACATCATATATTCTTTTTTCTTTTGTAATTAATCCTGTCATGTGAGAATGAGTTGGGTCTATCTTAAAATAAGACCATAAAAACAACATAATAATAAAGATAGCTTCTACTTGGGCCTATCTAGTGGAAGCCCATACAAGCCCACATTAAACATAACTTAACTTGGACCTGTCGAGACAAAGCTATACAAATAAAAAAAAACACGCAATTATAAATTGAACCTGTCAAGAAGTTAAACTTTGAAATGGGCCGTATTGAAAAAGCTTATAGAAAGCCCACAACAAACATAACATTGATATGAGTTTCAATGAAGCCCATAAACTCCCACAACAAACATTAGTTCTACTTGACCCTAAATAAAAAAAATATATATATATATATATTATGTAGAGTTGGTACCAAACCAAACAAAAACAAAAACAAAGACAGATTTAGTAACCAACGAGAGCGTTAATATATAAATAATGAATGTACCAAATTAAAACAATATATAAGAAATAAAATTCGAAATGTTAAAACGTATTTCATTACACGTATAAATAGTGTATAAGTAAAAGAAATTGGAGTCTAACAAACAATATATGAACCAAAATTCGAAATATATGTAACTTCGTACTATTTTTTTAATTTGGGTTTTAAGAGAAATCCACAAAGAAAGTAACTTCATTAAGATTTTAAAAAATATTGTTAATAATTAAAATTTGTTACCGTTTTGTTAATACGAATACTTTGTTACCTTAATTTTGTATATACATCTATGTTGCGGGACCCACCGCAGGCGGAGTGGCTCAGGAATCCTGCCATATGACACGATGCGTCAGTATATATATATATATATATATATATATATATATATATATATATATATATAAACATATACACACACAAAAGTGGGCCACGTCATATAATATGATAATTCGTATGAATTGTATGAGTTGTATCCTTGTTTGTTGATTAGTTTTCATGAAATCAAATCCACTAAAATTTGAAAATTATTTTACAATTTGGTTTTGAATTGTGTAATTCATGGATTAAATTTTTCAAAATTGTATCGTATTTGGAAATCATAGTTTGTTTAAATATTACGATTTGTGATTATTTTGTATAAAAGTTGTTCGTGGGTTATGATTAACCATATTTTTGCAATATTTTATTTTGAAATATATTAGAAAATTTTGATAAATATTGTTTCGTGGATCTCGGACTTTTTGCGTGCAAAAAGATACTCGTAATATAAATAATTTTTTCAAGCAGACTTTCTCAATTTTTATTTTAATAAAATTTTCATTTTACATGTTATAAAAAAAAAAATTTGTATTGAGATCAAACCATTGAGATAGCCTTTTTTTCATGATAGCGAATACAAGTTAGTCTTAGCAAATCATAGTGAAAATTAATAATTAGAATTTAATGGACAACCCGTGTTTTATTATTTTTTTAGAAATCATTAGAGATGGTATAATTCGAACATTTGAAATCCAATCTCATATTCGTGGATCTCGAAAATAGGAATTGTGAATAGCTACAAAATATTTTAATCTAAAATTCGTAAAAGTAAATAAAGATAATTTTCTATTTTTTTTATTAAATTGATGATTATTTTTCTAAAAAGGTTAGACAGTGAAAAATAATTTGTATTTTTAATAAATATAAAATATTTTTGTAATTAAATCATTGAATTCAAATTTAAACGTAGGACGGACTAATCTTACGGGTGGAATACGAAAAAACCATGGGTTAATATTTAAATAATGGATGTACCAAATTTAAAAAATATATGAATAAAAAAATATTGTAACATGTTACATATACTCAAGTAATAAGACAGATACATATACTCAAAGGCATATCAAGACATAAGTGTGAATATAAAGTCGAGTAACTGGAATACATTTATTTCAAATTTTTTTATTGACATTTGATATAATGTGTATATGTCAACATCATGTGAATTATTTATTTTACAATTATTCTTTTTTCTTTTGTATTGAATCCTGTCACATCATAAATATTTTCCTCTCCATATTTATGTTTTTCGACACTGGCTAGTTTCGCGACGAGGGACTTGGTCACGTGACATATATATATATATATATACACACACTATTATATTTTTCTGTAAAAAAGGTTTGATTGCGTATACGCTTTTGAATTTGAACTGGAAAAATATTTCAATATGTTTATATTTTCGAAAAATTCAACAAATTTGTGTGCCTAGAGATACATATATATAAATATGTTATAGGGTTCCTATGGGTACACATATCACCATCGTCATCATCATCATGGGTCTATCTCTCTCTCTATGATGATGATACATGCGTGGCAGTGGGAGAGCAATGTGGGTGATAAACGTTACAGAGCTCGAAAGCTACGTCTGTATCCACTCCCAGTTGGTGTCAGCACGCCTGATTTAACTCTTCTCGTGGCTTATCAATGCGTACATATATGTGTATCTATATATATATATATATATATATGTACAGTGTACTTATATACGTAATGGTCATATTTATAGTCCCTCTTCTTCCTCGCTGTGGTCCCACCACCAAGTCGCATTCGTTTCCTTTTACTAGGAACCTGCAGCTGAGCTTTGACGTATATACTTCTATTTCGATATTTTTCGCTCTACCACCACCGAGCCGCGATCTCTTTAGATTTTCCTCCCCCCTCTTTTGCCTATATAAACAACAATGGGAGAAGTCACCGCTTCACTCACAAAGAAAGATGAAAAACACATTGAAGAACATAGCCACCAAGGTCAGCAGGAGGAACATTCTCCGAGCCTCCTCTTCCGCCGCTGGAGGCGGTGTCGAGCCAGACATGCCAGGTATGTGCGTTAAACTCAGATTTTTATTGCAGAAATGCTGATTGAGTTTGGTCTGTCTTTTGTTTTTTCGGTTCTGAAACAAAAGTGTTGTGTCTGAAGAATAACGCCATGCTCGGAGAGCCTTGAATTCGACGACTGGTGGGCGGAAAAGAAATTCCGCCAAACTGAATTTTCCGGTTGGGAATTCCAAACCCAGGAAGAACTCGATGACTGGGTTGCAGATTTGATTCTTGAAATAAATCCTTTGGGTTTAGACATGCAAAGTGGATGGATGCCATGCGTTTTTCAATCGTATGTACCTTTGGGTATTTTTCCACCGTATTTTTTCAACGTGGAGACATGCACTTAATCGTATGTATCTCTACATACGATTGACAAAAATGGTGGATGCGTCGATATCTCTCTTTGCCACATTTGATCCATACCGAACACACATTTTCATTAAACTTAAAAAAGAAAAAACATAAACCATAGCGAAGTCTTGATTTTTAACCAAAAAAAAACACAATCATAAGTATAAACACGAAATTAAGACCAGACCCACGAGCTCTAGTCATCGAGTTCTTCCTCGGTTCGGAATTCCCAACCGGG